CTGAGGATCCCCTTTCATGTAGCTCGTGGTACTGAGTTTAGCGGTTTATCAGAGATTTGTCATTGTTTCCACCCGAACCTATTCATGCATACGAGTGTTGTGGGATAAACTGGACGGACTGTCGATAAAGTGTGGTGGGAAAACAGTGGGACCTCGGCAGCTGACTTGACTGGGTAATGCAGTCGTGGCCCTGAGTGCTTGCCTCCGGTAGTAGTAGTAGTGCCAGAGTACGGTAACCAGGTGTGCAAGTTTTTCCACTCCATGTCGTGGGATCGAATCTAATACACACATGAGGCACTTGTAAGCGGTCCTCTTGCAAAGTTTTTCTGTAAATTCCTTAAAAGTCATGTGCTTTTGGATGCCAGCCCCGGCCAATCCTGCCAACTTGACAGCCAATTCGACACCCTGTCAGGCTAATTCGATACCCTGTCAGGCCAATTTGACACCCCGAACAGGTCAATTCGATACCCTGTCAGGCTAATTCAATACCCTGTTAGGCCAATTCGGCACCCGGACAGGCCAATTCGACACCCGGACAGGCCAATTCAGGCGCAGCACAGCCCAATTCCGAGGCTCCACAGCGCAATTCGAATACCTCCGGCGGGTCCGCCAGAACAATTCCAGACCTCGGCAGACCAATTCTTTTGTCAGGAATAAAATCCAGGCTAATTCTGCGACAGAGCTCTTCCCTAATTCCAGCCCGAATCCTACCCTCCTGACAAGCAGCTGCCTGCAGGCATCAAACGATCGAGCATACGATAGACGCGGGTTGATCCATCAGCTGAATTACATAAAAGCCTGGTTATTCACTTAAACAGGTATTCGACGAAGTGTTTTGGTGAAGCGATTGTGTTGAACAACCGTGGTTTGTCACATCGCCGAGCTAGGGAGCAGCCACAAATGAAACGAGCGACTTTTCCATTTACATTTCGCGTGGCAGTGTAATTTCAATGGATGTTGAGGTGAAATTGCAACCAACAGGAACGATCAAACGTTCGCGAGGCACAATCCCTTACGGGTTGTCGTTAGTCATTAACAGTCGCAAAGTCAAGATTTTTTATTGAGGCATTCCAAAGGTTGTTTGGCCGGGTTGTGTTGCCAAATGTGCCGATGTGCAAAAACCTGCCAACGATGTCCCAAATATTCAGTAGCATGTAGCATGATTCTATTGGCGGGTTACGGGAGAAAAAACGCGCGCATTTCAGAATTTTGAATACATTCACTCCGTTCAGTTACGAATAAATGTTCCTGACAGCTTGCAATGGGAACACCGCGCCGCAGGTCACATCCACCAGGAATGGATGCCAAGCCAGTCGCCAAAGAACAAACAGCCTTGCTTGACAACTGTTGCGATGCCGCGGCATGTTAAGACCACCTAATTCTATCCACCACGCGCGTTCGTTTTCCAGTCCCATTTCAATTACACCATCACGGCAGCTGGGGCAGGGAATGATGTCCACCTGTTATGTCAGATCTGTAACCAGTCAACGGATAAAATCCGATTACGGAATATCATGCTGCGCACATCCTGCTGCGCGCAATTAAATCCGATGCGGAAAATCTTGCTGCGCACGCTGCGACACAAAAGATGCCAATCATAGTGCCACACGTGGCATTCTTGGCCACGCAATCCGGCACTGCTAAAGAGAAAGAAAACCTGTCAATCCTCCAGGCGCAGACCTTACGTGCCTTGGCCCTCCGTCAACTTGCCAAGAGCGTAACGATGTGCGGTTTAGCCATTAAACCGGAACCGTGTACATCGGGCAGCACGCCCTGTTGGCGTTGAAGATGAAGAGGTAGCTGCATGATGTGGCACAGAGGGGCGGGTAAGGAGTGGTTTAAAATAATAATAATAATTATTATTATTTATTATTATCATTATTATTATATCATTTGTTTGATGCAAAGTTATGTTCCGAAACCAAGAGGCACAGGGAAGCTGGTATGTTGATGGAGTGTGTGTCTGTCGTACGAGCGATGTATATTTATTATATACGAGTGTGAATTAAGCGATTAATGTAGGCATGTGATATCCGCGTGTGAGCGAGGGAGGGGAAGAAAGAAAGAAAGAGAGAGAGAGAGAGAGAGAGAGAGCATCATGAAGCGAAAGCGGCAAGGAGAAATCCATGGCTGTTGACAGTCAGACCGTCGGTTCAGTAAGTCCCCATATTCAGGCCATAACCACTCACCACTTGCTGCCGAGGCAGAAGTCCGAAAGGGTGGTTGGGTTCTTGAGCTCCACGCAGACCTTGGAGTTCGCGGCCTGAGCCTTGGTCCAGTTGATCGGGGTGACTGTAATTGCAGAAGGGGGGAAAGTGAGGGGTGGAAGAAAATTCTCATTTCCTGCTCCCCTCGGCCCTTCCTTCAGGGCAAAGAAGGGCAACCGTACGGCAACAGGTAGCTGTTGCTTTAAGCGCGTCCTGCCTCCCTTCCTGACATATCTGCCAGGAAAGCCAGTAACGATGTTATCCATGCCGGTAAGCTTGCTCTAAGGCTTGCGAATCGATATGCAATTGATCCATGCGCGTCCTGGCTCGAGCTGACCTTCGTACAGCTGACCTTCGTACAGCTGACAGCGTTTGGTCCCCATCCTTGGTTTTTTACGATGGCATGAAATAATAAATATTGGTTCAAAACTCTTCCCGAAGCTCAAACAAACTGTAGTGCATCCAACATTACGCAGTCGTTCGCTATGCCCCTGGCGTCCCAACGCCTACGTAGGCCGCTTGCATATCATGCTTACACTTCAGAGTGTTGCTGTTAGCGCCGTTCCAGGAGGCCGCGAGGGTCGTGGTGGTGCTGCCGGAGACCAGTTTCAGGCTCTTAATCGCAGCCCTCTGATCCTGGTCTGCGATTGGCGCAACGAGAGGCGGGCGATGGCAACAGCGCAAGGGACGCGACTCAGGATATTTGCGTGTGAATGTGTTTGTGTGTATGTGTATGTGTGAACGTGTTTGTGTGTATGTATGTATGTATGTATGTATGTATGTATGTATGTATGTATGTATGTATGTATGTATGTATGTATGTATGTATGTATGTATGTATGTATGTATGTATGTGTGTGTGAAACAGGGGGGTGTATCTTCACCCGTGGCCGCTACCCTGCGAAACCCTGCCTTCCCCGCGGGTATTTCGGGGCACCCTCATCCAGTCACCCTAGTCAACTTCTCAGTGGATCGCTCAGGTTCCGCACCCACCACCAGCATCTGCCAGGATCTGCCGGGTCGACGGCGACATATTTCCATTCCTGGTCGGCTCGCGGGTTAACTTTATCCCAGGTCACCACCGTCCATCAACTAGGGGCGCAATGCCTTCCACCATCGAAAGGACTTCTGACCCTAATGGGTGTCGATCCCGGGATCTCCCGGGGGCAATGGTCGCGCCTTACCAGTAGTGCCAAACCCTAGTATATGTAGTGTGTATGTCTGCGTTTGTGTGTGCATGTGTGTTTGTATGTGTGTGTATGTGTATGTATGTGATTGGCACATATCCCGATATGCGGCGGAGCGGCCAACTGAGTGATTGAGCTGGTAAAATCAGGGCAAAGTTTAAAGTTCGTGTTGCACCTATTTTGCGGATACGGGACAAAGAACGACACCATCACATGCAGTCGAGGTTTTCCCACAACCATGCCCAACCGCGTTATTGTCGCATTCATTGCTCGCCAACCCCCCAAAAATGACGTACTACGGTACGACACAGCCAGGAGAGGAGCCCTATGCGCGTGAGAGGAACATGGGACTGGTTTGTATATCCACACATCGATCGTCCATGCACTCATCGATCGTCCATGCACACATGCACACAGAGCATTGTCCATATGCTGCATGCACGATCCAAGAAGAATGCATCATAGATGTTAGGGTCTTACTTGCGTACATCTCGATCTTGTGCAGGATGTCGACCGGGCCGCAACCAGCCTGCAGGAAAGAGACGGTCGAGTCAATGGGTAGTCGAGCCGGGATGTTATCATCAGGAAGAGCATGACGGCGATGTACGTTCCTTCAAATCGGCAAAAACATATCCAAAAAGGAACTACACCAAACCATCCCTATAGCCTTAAGGGATATGACCGTTGCGTACGGGCAAGTGGCCGTTATAATAAAACACCGCGCCCTGACTATTGACAGATCCCAAAAGGTATAAACTCTAAGTCGCAGGCCAGGGATGAGACAAAGCCGTCCCAGGCAGGGAGGATATGGAGGCCCAACGGAACGGTTGGGCAGGCGATGTTGCTCTTGACGTTAATGGCGCGATATGAACCACGGTTTACATCTCCTGGTACTCTCAAGCTACTAGGCCTGGCTAAGGAACTAACTATAAGATCGCTACGGAGAGGCCTTGGTAACGTATCGCCTCCGCAGTACTAGTAACACAGACTAGTAGGGACGACTAACCCCGCCACCTCTACCTGCATCTTTCCTTTGAGCCCTTTATCCCGAAAGCGAGGATGTCCCTGATGCTAAGTCACTCACTGGGGTGAAGGTGTCCGTGGTGGTGATCGGCAGGCAGTACACGGTGGTTCCCGAAGTGGTGGGGGTAGCAGTGGCGGCGGCGCCAACAGTGAATGGCGTGGAACCTGCCTTGTAGTCGCACCTGCACATCGGAACCACCGTATCACGTGAGCAGATGGGTTGAAGTTAATTGATCGGCAGAAACACACCCACACATATACCCATAACCACACGCAAAAGGCTAACTTGCTGATACATACACACACAAACACACATATACAAACATACACACATATGGGCACAACTGCGATGTGCACGCATGGTAAACAACACATGCTTACATGCACACACGCTTTTGCATGCGCACTACACGTACGAATACACACACATGCACACACATGCACACACATGCACACACATGCACACACATGCACACACATGCACACACATGCACACACATGCACACACGCACGCACACATGATCCCGGGGCCCCTTCCCGGGCTCGTCCAAGGAAACAAAAGAACGACGAACGAAGTCATCAAGTGCCATGGAAGCTAAGTCAGCGGCAAGTGTGCCGCAGCCCTAATTTCGCCGTAATGTGCTACTACTGACGGCACAGATGTATATTATTATTATGCTTGCATGGATGCAGGTGCCCCAAACAAGTAACAAGAAAAATCATTGGCACATTCGGCGTTCACGGCCTGCAAGCTTCATGACTTTCCGTCCTAGGACTCACGTGCAGTTGATGGGGGGCGGGGGCAGAAGCGGAGAGTTGGGCACAGTAACGTCCGTTGGGCAGCACTTGAACTTGGAGTCCCACAGGGCAGTCTCGCAGGTGCCGGGAGCACCGCCGGCCGGTGGCTTGCAGAGCTGCTCCAGGGAGAGGCAGCCCCTGCCGGCGGAGTTGGTGCCCAGGCTCACGCAAATCTCGGCGCCATCGGCGTTGGACATCTTGAGGCCCAGGTTCGGAATGCGCAGGATGGCACCAGCCGGCTCGTTGGGGGCCTTGTCGATAGAAGGCTGGGTGGGGGTTGGCTTGCCGTTGAGGGTAGAGCTCAGCTTGGCGCCGCTAATCTTGCAGATAGGGTTGATGCTCAGCTGCGAAGGAAGGAGCGAGGGGGCCCGAGGTCAGAAGGCTTAAACATTTCGCGGTAATGCGCGGGTGGAGATTATAGATCGTGGGCTGGGTGGGCGGAGCACGTCAAATTGCATGGCGGAGCGGTGACGTGGCTTGCTCGTCCAATGGCTTGCTCGTCCAGGGACAGAGGGGCGTTGTTAAATAAAGGGAAGAGTGGATGCGCAATGACACAAGGTCTGAAAGAAAGCTCTAAGTGACATCCGGGTTTGGGTCGCATGGTCATGGTTGGGAAGTGAGCGAAGTCCCCGGTCAGTTGCCCCGTGAACCGCCAAGCGCTTCGCATCCGCATGCCGCTGCGGAATGCGGCTGGTAATGCTATGCCTATGTAGGGCCATATTTCATATGGCAAAATGCAGGTCCCTAGCGAGTTATGTTGAGCTAGTGAAAGAAAAGACTGGAAGATGCGAGTCGGAAGGGCCAACTGTTGGCCGCATCAATCTGCGAACCTCGGCGAAGGACGGACGCATAACGGCAGATAGCAGTTTCAATAGGCGTCCACCAGGACAACTATCGCCATTCATGCAGGAGAACGGGATATGTATATAACAAAAATCACAAGCAGAAAGCCGGTCTAAAAGCCAGCGCGCTCTGCGACGGCCGGACAACGAAACTCCGCCTACCTCGAACTTGTAAAGGTCAGCCGAGCAGCAGTAGCCAGCGCAGTTAGCAGGCACGTTGACAGCGATCTTAAAGCAGTAGGTGTTGTTGGGGCGCTCAATGATGGTCGACTCCACGGAGTAGACGGCCGGCTGCTGAGCGCATACCGAGCTGTAAGGGAAGGAGGCGGCCTGGGCGCCAGCCAGCCTGCAAGGCATCATATATGACAAGAGTTAATGTGTGTTGGCATACGGTGAATTGTGCGAACGCCGCCGAGGTTCCGCAGCTGCTGCGAGATGCAACAAATCGTGCCCGCAAATAGCAAGACCATCACGCAGATAGAGCCGTGTTCGTGCATGTAACAAAATAGCAAAAAGGTGCTATTCAGTAGCGTATGGACTTCGTCCAGCTCTACTACTTCCACGCGATAATTGTCACACTTACAGGCTGACAGCCACAGCAATGCACAGGACGTTGGTGAGCTTCATTTTTTGGATGTCCAATTGCATCAGTTTTTGGAGGTGATTGTCACCGTTGGCCATTTATGTGCAACTTCACAAGCTTGTCGTACGCACGGTGGGGCGGGCGGCGGGCACCAGCCATCGCTGGCGCTGGATGCGTTCGTCCTCAAACATACTACATTCTTGCATGTTTAGCTGATTAAATTTAGGATGTATACATTTGGTCAGCGTGCAAAATATCCTTTCCAGCATTGCTCATTTCGCCGTAACCAAAATGCTTATCAATACTTCAGGTACGCCAACTATTTAATAATTGTGAGAAAATATAATTTACCAATATATCGGCCGAGTGCCCTTAAGCGAATGACTTTCGCAAAGCCCATACGGCCCATACGGCCCAGAACATCCCCAGGCAACGCATGTGATGTCTTGCGAAAGGATAATAGCCGTAGCCAGCTTAAATATTGCTATGCTCAATCTTAAAAGCATTCTTCGTTTCTGTCTAAGAATTGTGTACCGTATGTCAGAGGGATGTTTCGGAACGCTTTTTTCCTACGATCCTCAGGAAACTGTCACCCGAAAGGACGCATCCACAGGCAAATTTACTAATTTCTGTATGAGACTTAGTGATCTAGCGGTCGAGATTGCTGGAGCTATACACTTTTTATACGGGACATTTCGCATGACTGTCGGGCGAGTCGCAGATCATCAATTTCGGTACAGAGACAGGGGGTTTGCTGAATCTCCAAATTAGTAATGCATTTTTACTTATTAATTCACAATACAAGGAGCCATTTTCAGCCCGAGCCTTCTGCCATGGGATAGGTAAGGGTATGGGAGGAGCGAGGAGACTTTACCTCGTCCAAGACCGGTTCGTACCCCAGAAAATTCCTGCACCCCAGCGCTTGACAAATGACATTCTCTTACGTCCCTCATCCTCCCCTCCCAATGCCTAGTCCTGCCGACTGATGAGGCCGAGTCCCGCCACCACCAGCCCTGCCTGCCCTTCCTCGCAGCATCCTCGAGCTACGTGTCGAGCAGAATGCGATCGATACATCGGACCCCGGGAGGGAGTCCTGCTGTTTTTTTTCTGTGGACGATTACTAGCCAAAGCAAGCATGCCATAGGCGCTGTAAGCAGAGCTAGCAGTGGCGCGCAAGGCGGGCTGCAGCTGGAGGATGACCGTATGGTGGTGGCATACAGCAGGCTAAGGCCGAGCACGCAAAGCCATATTTACACCCTGTTCCAGAGCCGCGCCAAGCTTACAAACCTGCTCATGTCTGAGAGCTGCTACTTTGGTTAGATCTGCGCAGGCTAGGCCGCTGCACTGCGATGTGTACCGGTAGCTGCACATGTTGAAACAAGTCAAACATAGCAGACGTCAACACAAGGTCTTTCAAACTCTCCAGCGATTTAACTTGGTGAGATGTGGACTGGCATGGCGACGCGGAGTCCGGAGTCACTTAAGCGGTCCAATTGGACCGCTTGCAAGCACATGAAGGTGTGACATGTCAACGGAGCGGGGCGAACTCAAAAACGTGCTCTAAAATGAAATGAATAACCTATATCCTCAAATTCAAAAAAGACTATGACAAGAGGAGGACAGAAGTTGCAGATTTGTAGGTCGTGCCGTTCGAGTCACTTGAATCCTGAGGCAAATCCTGGTTTGCTGGAGGTACGAGACAGTTTACTATAAGTGCACTTTACCATAAGTTGCACCTGCAGGTGTGTATGATGGAGAAAACAGGGTGGAAATATGGCTCCTCTACCTGTTCTCCCAGCCTCCCTTTTTCTTCGACACGTAATTGCGAACTTAACAAGCTTGACCTGCGAGATCTAATTAAATTCTGCATCAAGCCCGCATGAGATACGCCTATGCAGCTCACCGCAGACCTCCAAGGCCCCAAGGGCAATTTTACTATCGATACCGTACAAGATTGATTTCGGTGACGGCCAGCCGTTGCACTGTTCATTGAAACCACCAAGTTTCACATATCACAATGTTAGATGGTTAACTACAGATGTTGACAGGTGTTTGTGTGATGTAATGCTCCGTTGAACGGAGTCCGTTCTTCAGGAGACGACTTGACAGAAACATAGCGAATGCCTATAAAAGTAAAGCTTCCCATACAGACTTACGGTTTACATTATCTTTAATTAGCTTCACGTCTATGCAGCTTAGGTATCTCCATCGGATTGCAACCGTCAGAAGCGTCTTGCTGTCGTCCGCTATAAGGGTCTAACGCAGCTGCTCCTGGTCTTTCCAAAATCAGTAAAAACAAGTGATAATTTATTCATTGAAAATTGGGGGTTTGATACGCGCAGTTCTTTGCATTGCAGCTATGGCGGCCGATTTGGTTTCGAAGCACTTCCGACTCTTGCCCATGTATCGATGAAGTGGGAGAAAGCTGGCACCCGCATTTAATGGAAACGGTAAATCTTAAGCAACTCCGTAGGATAAACCACGCTCACCAGTATGTGTAGGTGTCGTAGTGTGTGTTGCCGCTGTGTGGGGTGTCACGGTATGAGGGGCGTCTCTTTGAGGGATGGGTGCAGTTGCAGCAACGCGAACGAGCCGTTCTAGCGGTCAAAAGAGGAATTACTAATTGGCGGCTTCTCGACTTCGCACAGCGACTGCTGGAACCTGGACCTATCAGTTCACCGCCGGGACTAGGGATGCCTCCTCAAGGCAGTGTGGTTGTTACAGTGGGCTCCAGACTCACGAAGAGTACAGCCAGCGGGCCAGCAGGCCGTGCGCTGCACCTGATAAGATGAGGGCAAACAAGACTCCCACCCAGACCAGACAACGCAAGTCACCTAGACAGCCAAAAGCAAATCCAAGGGCAGGCTCAGAACCCGCAACCACAGGGGAATTTGCCATTAGACTCCACAGTTGGCGAGAGTGTTCCTGTTTGTCCTCTAAGCGGCAGGACATCGCCATTCGCCACGTAGGACTGTACGATAGCATGCACAGTCCTCTCGCAAGGTCTGTGCCCGAAAGCTTCAGCTATTTGCGCGTGCGTGTAATTCTCGCCGAAATAGAGGTGGCAAACACGTTCGCGCACTTGTTTGCTGTAGTAGTAACGGTTTAATACTTCTCCCATTGTGAGATCCACTCTACAAACTGAGTATGCACACGTACGTATTCGCGTATATAGAATATCATAATAGAAATTTTGCGTGTTCCTTGCGACTTGCGACTTGCAACTTGCGACTTGCGACTTCAGAAGTACGCAAGAGTGCACTTCGCCTCGCATCCCGCAATTTGTTATGCAAGCCGCCATAAAAAAAGCACTGAAGTTCGCGCTCGCCGTTTTGCTTTAGAGACAAACCGCCACCAAGACGCAATATATTATTGTAATGCGTTTTATTTAGATTGTATAAATCGATACCTTACAGAGCGCGGACGAAAGAGGCTTTATGACGTTACGTTGTACGGTATGCAACTCCTGCTCAAGTCAAGATTTGAGCCCCCGCCCCCGCCAAATGAAATGGCCGTCTGCAGGTTTGCGTGCTGCAGGGTTTGATTGCTTGCAGTGATTTAGCAGCGAGGAAACCACCTCCTTGATTTGGTTTGCCCAGCGCCGCTGGCAACTATGTTTTTTGGTTCCGACAGGACAACACCAATGCTGATACTCGCTGATGAGCCATGTTAACTCCCCGGGACGCCTTGGACTTGAACATGTGCGTGCTGAGCTTTACGAATCCCTATGTTGTACAGCAGCCTCGCAAAGCGAGGAAGGAAAGCAGGCCAAGGGCAATTACATTTCTGCCTGCGCGTAGTTTTGGGACAGGCATTCCGCCATGTGCATGCAGCTCTGAGACAAGGACTGAGGACTACGGTATGCAACTATCTTGTCAGCAGTCACCGGCATTTTGAACACACGCTTTTGCCTCGCAGATGCCTCGCTGTCATAACTCTTTCATTGCCTGGTTCTTCCAATAACCAAAAGAGTCTCACACTGCTAGGGTATAAACAAACACAGATGCCCGCCTGTTCGCAGGGATAAACTGTTAGGTTATTGACAATCGCGGCATGGAGTTCAGGCCAGCTCATGAACCTAACGTGAAGCGGAAATAGTAGTGCCGTACCTATACCGGGTTCAAAGGAATATTGCACATTGCTTTCAAGTACGCTAACGTGAAGCTAACGTGAAGCGGAATTAGTAATGCCGTACCTATACCGGGTTGCAAGGAAAATATTGCAAATTGCATTCAAGTACGCAATTGATTTTCATTCCTACTGGTAATTATGTAGCAATGACTTGCGTTCCTTAAACGTGAAGATACAGAAGGGGGCAATTCACAGAAGGGGGCAATTCACCCCGTTTATCGGGGCCCCCTTGCAACATCTCTATTGCAAATAACAGCAAAGACGCTGCAAGATATCTGCAAGGAACAGTGTGGCTTGCTACTTGCGGACCATGGCAGCTCCCTCCGGCCTTGCCTTAACCTTCCTGTTAGCTTTCTCTGTATTTATAGTCCAGCATCATGCACAGCAAACGACAGTTTACTCGACCAGCTGGGATTCAGGCACTCCATCTGGCTGGACGACATATGTGCGGAATCAGAACTGCCCATGTCCGGCGGCAACCTTTAATTTTGGAAGCATTTCAGCAGCTCATACAGGTGCATTCGGTCTTGCGGTTAATATAACAAAACCGTCAAATCAAGGGTGGCACGTTCAGCTCCAGTCGCCGATGTTCACTTTGTCGCCGACGCAAGTCTACACAGCGTGCTTCTGGGTGCGCACCACCATAGCCGGAGGAGCCGAAGTGCCTATGAATCTTATCGCAGAGACTAACTACCAATGGATGACCGGAAGCAGCGTCACGGTAGGTTTCCAGCAGCAGTAGAGTAGCAGCACTCTCTCTCTTTGGAGTTTCCAACCAGCCACTGAATGCAATGCCTGACAAAGACACCACTTATTAAGAAAGCACTGCCATCTACAAACAATCACAAGCAGCCTCTATATTTGCCAGCTAGGCAGCAGCTATATACTCCCTTTGTAAGTCTCTTTCCCACCTGTTCCCACCTCCAAGACCTCTCTACACGCTGTTTTCGTGCAAGCCCTTTCACACCCAACTCCAATATTTTTAAGCCTTGCGCATATGGAAATAACGAAATAATGGACGCACGGACCTTTATGTGTCCGCGGAAAACTCTGACAGCCGAAGTTTTTTTTCTCCACGCGCGCACTCCCTCACATCACCAACACGCAAATCGCTTATCACGCTCGCTCTCCCAAATCGGGAGGCCGCAGGCAGACGCCTCCTGGCGCCAGGTCTGCGTCCCCAGCTTCACGCCCAACAACTCATCCCGATTCTATTACACGCTGGACTTTGGGCTGCTCACGGGCAGCGTCTTCGTCGACGACTTTACGTTGGAGGCCACCCGTAACACGGCCCCCGAGGACGCGATCTACTGCAATGCGACCAACGTGGCCGCGCGAATCGAAGCATATCGCAAGGGCAACTTCACATTTACATTTGTGAACAGGTCCACCAATGCGGTACGGACATGCGAGTACTTGTGTGTTACGACATGTACACTTCCTCCGTACAACGTAACATCCACACCTTGAATAGAAAAACGCTGCTACCATGCACGGAGTTTGTGTGTGTGTGTGTATGTGTGTGTGTGTATGTGTGTGTGTGCGTGTGTGGTGCATGTGTGTGTATGTGTGTGCGTGTGTGTGTGCGTGTGTGTGTGTGCGTGTGTGTGTGTGTATGTGTGTGTGTATGTGTGTGTGCGTGTGTATGTGTGTGCGTGTGTGTGTATGCGTGTGTGTATGTGTGTGTGTATGTGTGTGCGTGTGTGTGTGTGTGTGCGTGCGTGTGTGTGTGTGTGTGTGCGTGTGTGCGTGTGTGTGTGTGTATGTGTGTGTATGTGTGTGTGTGCGTGCGTGTGTGTGTGTGTGTGCGTGTGTGTGTGTGTATGTGTGTGTGTGCGTGTGTGTGTGTGTGTATGTGTGTGTATGTGTGTGCGTGTGTGTGTGTGTGTCTGTGTGTGTGTCTGTGTGTGCGTGTGTGTGTATGTGTGTGTGTATGTGTGTGCGTGAGTTTGTGCGTGTGTGTGTGTGTGCGTGTGTGTGTGTGTATGTGTGTGCGTGTGTG